GTGTTGCACACTCTTTTCTACTCTGAATAACATGCCAAGAGCATAAGACTTTAGATAACTATATAGACTATTACTGTTAAACCTAAGCTTTTGAAAGAATTTTTACAATCGTTTTAAGCTCAAGAAATTCATTTCACCGAGAGTCATTTGTTTATTCAATGAACCTGTTGATACTTATTCTCTAATGAGACGATCTGATCACTGAAGTCCAGACCAGTTTCATTCGCCATCTTCCGCACCTGCACTCAAAAAACACAATACTTTGAACAAATTGTGACATACTCTCAAACTAAGAACCAACAAAATAAAAAATAAATAGAAATTACATCAACAATCTTCTTCTCTAAATCAACAAGTGGCTTCTCAAAGTCTAAAGTAACAGGCTTCTGCTTCTCTTTCAAAGGCTTGAAAGGTGAAAGGTGAGAGAGCACTCCTCCTTTCACATTGGGATCCGCATCCTCGGGCCAGGGATACTCATGCTTCTTCACCTTCCTAAGCTTTGCTGAGATTGCCAAATCCCTTCTTTTGGGGCTGAATCGCGCTCTTCCAAGGGCTCTCAGCGGGATACCACTAACACCATTACTCGAGCTCTGTAAAAGATCCGAAGCTGAAATTCCACTTAATGCAACCGAAGAATGAGATATTGAAGCCATCCTCGAACCTCAACGATGATTATTTGAAATTCCTAACCAAATGGATCAAACAGATCTTAGATTTCTAGAAAATAGGCCAAGAAAATGAATCAGTAAAATAAAATAAAATCAGAACAGTATAAACAGTAAAGCAACCGGTTAGTAAAAGCAATGCTCCAATTGGACGCCAGGCATAATTTAATTTTACAAATTGGGAAATGATATATCGAAATAGATTTTCCGATAAAGTTTCAACCAGGTGCTCCCTTACTCTACTCCAATTAGCTTATAACTGAGTTTCCGCATTTTTTAGAAGCAAAAACATACATCTAGGCGGAGGTTCCAATTTCTGCCGGTAACCGAAAATAAATATTTCCTCAAAGAAAATAAATAGAGAGAGAGAGAGAGGAAAAGAGTATCTAACGATCCCGATAACAAATCTAACATGCATCAAAATCAAGTTCAATTACTGTAAAGAAAGGAAACCTAAAAAGCAAATCAAGACCTCCATCAAAACAAAAAAAAAGCTGCACAGAATCAGCTAGAGCTTCTAAAAAATTTACCAGAAAAGGACTCCAGAAATCGAGAGAAGTTGAGATCCGTGGAAGAAGACGTTGATTGAAAGATCTGTAACACAGAAAGGGTGGATGCAGAAAGTGAAGAAGCAAAGAGGAGAAATGGAGATAATTAAGCAATGAGAGGGACAAGGAGCATCGTGGAGATCGTCAGAGAAGGCGTAGTTTGGTTTTACTTTAGGAGGGAGTAGTTGTGTTGTCGATACTTCTTATGCAAATGGAAGAGAGGGACCTGCGTTTGTGATGAGCCAGCCTTTTTCGGTTTGGCCGTTAAAAGGGAGGATTTTTGAGTTCAGTCATTAGGAAAAAAAACTCTCTTGCCCTTGCTCCCTGGCACGTGTGCTTTGCTCGAGGGCTTCGGTGGTTTCGTGCTTTCCCCCTAGGGCTTGACTCCCACGGCCCCGTGGTTTTTGTTTTATACTTTTATTTTTTTTTTCTTAAAGTACTAAAGAGAAATTATTCAGCATTTCCACTTTATTTCCCTAAAAAAATTAATCTACGGTTATTAGAAAAAATAATCTATTGTCTTTCCTTTTTTAGATAGTTTTTCCTTTTTAGAAAGTGAAATAACTAGATTGAAAGGAACATTTATATAACTATATTGTATATTATTAATATTTTTTTTTCTCTTAAATATAAATTAAATAATATTTAAAAAATATTTTATATTATCCACAACCATGCATTAAAAAATGACTATCTATACTTAAATATTTAAAAAATATTTCGTATAAATGATGTCAATTAATTTACTATATCAGTAAAATTTTATTGTAGTAAATTATTTAGTTATAAATTAAAAAATATAAAGATTAATTTATTACATAAATAAAATTTTATTAGATGAAAAAAATGTTTATTAGATAAAAGAACTACCATTTTGAAAAAAATTAGTTTTGGTTACAATAGTAATAATATAAAAGTTTATATAATATTTTTAAACCTAGACAATAATGATACTTAAAGAAAAACAATTATTCAACAATGTATTTAAAAAGCTTTATATGTAAAATATATATTGAGATTCAGTTTAATATCTATTAGAATAAAATTTAACACTCAAATGAAACGTATTGTCTTTATTCATTATAGAAAGTGCAAATATTGTATACAAATACAATAATGTGAGAAATTAATTGTTAACTAATTTTTGTATGTAGATAGAAACAACGATGATTGATATTGTAATATTTAGATAAATTTTTAGCATATTCTAAAATTTTAAATTCTCTATGTATCAACTTGAATTGAAGTTTTAAAAAAATCTAAATAGTTTAGAAGTATTTAAAATTATTAAACTTCTGTTAAGTGAATAATGAATTTTATTATGAGATTAAAATTAAGGGTTATTTCTTGTTTAACAAAAATCATTCCAGACATGACTTCTCATTGTTTTTAAAATTATAATATATGACAACTAAATTAATGATGTACGATAACTAAATTAAGAATATATCACAACTAAGTTAACACTTGACAACAATAAAAATGACCAAAGTTTGTCAATAATAATTAACTTAATCTCAAATACGAAAACTAAAACTTATATTACCATGTCATAATGTTCATCAACACCACATATTATGAAGCAAGTTATATATAAGTAGCAAAGATAAAGTTTGGAAAGAAGTAACACTCACTACTTACATTTATTATTTATTCTAAAAGTTTTCACTCTTTATATTCATTAATTGTTATGTATATTGATTTTAGTATTAAAATACCTGACATAAGATAAATATGATATATTATCATTAATTCATTTTACAGATAAGAGTACGTGGTCCAAATTAACTCTCATATATTAATATTAACTCTTATCTATTTACTTCTTTCCTCTTTCATGTATCAATCTTTATCTAGTTATATCACTATTAAATTCTCCTCATTCTTATTAAATGGTAAAAGGTGAAATTATAATAGTTTTATATAATTTTTATTGAAATAACTTGGTCTACATATTTTCAAACTTGTTCAATGACTACTTAATGATTTCAATACATGTCAAAAATAATAACATTTACAAATTTTATTGAAGGTGAATGCTGGATTAATTTTTTCTCAAAAAGATCCAAAATGTAATATTATTATTGTTGTTTTTGTAACTGTAGTAAATAAAAGATATTATTTTATATTTTCTATATACAAATATTTAATTTGTTTTAAAATTTGTATTTAATTTTTTGAAGTAATTCTATTTATATATTATAAATTGTAAAAAAACCCATATCAATTGTAACATTTACTGAAATAATTTTAAGAATATAAAATAAAAATTATTTTAATCAAAACGTAGTATAAATATTAAATAAAAACTTTTAATTACAATTTAATTATTTATTTTAAACATTTAATTTTTTTTATTTTGATAAAAAATAAAATAGTTATAATAGATTTAGATGTTTTAAGACATGATTTTAATTATAAATTATTATTTTTAATTAATTAATTAAAATTATTTTTTTAAAATTTTTTAAAATTATTTAATTGTTTAATTTTTTAATAAAAAATAAAAATTAAATATATAAAATAAATAAAAATATTAACAATCAAATTATAATATATAAAATAGTAAGAACTAAATCATTATAAGTTTTTGGTGATTAATTTTGTAATGTTAAGCGGTAGGGAGTAAGGGAGTAGAGGTTCGCTTTCTATTTCTCAGTTACCATATCCATTTGCTTTTGAATGTTGCTATTGTTTCCCTCGCCATTTCTTCTGTCTAGCGGACATCATGGCAACCGGTGATGATTCTAGGCCTTGCTGCATGACCTTTAGTTTTGTCTCTTTTAGTTTTTACTAAATTTATTCAAGTCTCGACGTGGTTTGACAAGAAATCTTTTCATGGAATTGCTATGTTGATAATACGCAGATAATATTCTTGACCAACTGCGACATGGGATTGCTAGATTCGAGCTTGTTTCTTCACCTGTTTCTTCTATTTCCAATGCGAACACCCTTGCTTGTACCAGTTCATTATTCGGAGACAACAGCCATCGATTCTTCGCGAGAATTGGACTAGCACCGTGAGTTTAGTTTTTTTTTTTTTGCTTTTCAAGAGCTTTTATATTACCATTGCTAAACCCTAAACCCTGAATTAACCGCTTTTAGTTTTAGTACTTCAAGTCTCAACTCAATTGCCAGTTGCTTTTTTCAATATTTTAACCATATGAAGATAAATTATACGTCCTTGCTTTCAGTCTTAATGTATTCATTTCAAGGTGCATTTAAATTTGTGATGGTTTTGTTTCCGTTCGTGTTTTCTTTGTCAGAATCAGGGAATCACCGGCAACGAAAAAAGTTGAGCGTTATTCGGTGCATAAAATTACTGGAGATGGCCGCTGTCTGTTTCGTGCCCTGGTATTATTTCTCTCTTTTTTTGTCCTTTTGTTTTGCTTCGATATAATACTGCTTGTCGTCGTCGTGACTTTCAAATAACTTGCAACGTTTTCTTCTCTGCAGTCTTAAATATTGACTTTAGTTGCTAGGGTTATGTTATCCGTACAACATAAATTGTGGCAACAACTGTACATGCTTTTCCCCTTTCTATTTTGAGGACCATTTCTGTTAACTTCTTATTAAGATCTTGAATTCAGTAGCTTAAGGAGAGTAACGTCTGTTAAAAATGACCATCTTCAAAAGAGATCTTTGTTAAATCTGTGTCTGAACCTGATTGATGAAATTAGGTCAAAGGGATGGCTTTGAACAAGGGTATCACTCTAAGTCCACGGGAAGAGAGGGATGATGCAGGTAGGTTTGACGTTGATTTTCACTTACTCTTACATGGAATTTTGGCTTATGCATTTACTTGGGTACTGGAAAATCCTTCCTGATGATGCTATTCTAGATTTTGTATGCTAAAATTGCTGAATATTCAGACTGACGGGGATTCATGTAGATTCTCTAACAAGGACCAGATTCCTTTTCTTTGTCCTGTTTCATATTGAACTTGAAACAATTGAAAATTTGCTGATCTTGTGCAGCATATGTTGGCAAATTTATCAAGAGATGCTTTTAGATTTTAATTTTACTCAAGACTGCTATACGTCATTATTTGACAGGCATTTGGGATTTCACTAGATTAAAATTGACAACTGGCTTAATCAAATGGGCTACTCTTGTATGTAAGAGCGACTGAACTATTCTTCTGTTCTTCTTCCATTGATAACGTGGAAACCAACATGAGATATTTTTTATTATTGTCTGTAAGTCTTATCAAAAGTAGAAAGACCAAGGATTTCATTATTGGTTTAAAATCTTCTGTTTTTCTGTTGGAGATTTCTGTGTTAAGGAGAAGTCTGATCTGGCAAAACGGTTGTATCTTTCATTTATTTGTAGAGGTTGGTAAGCTTATGTTGCTTTAAATTCTAGATACATTGCTATATTGTGGTTTGTGAAAATGCAGACGAATTGCGTATGGCTGTGAAAGAGATTATATGTGACAATGGTAGAGAAAGAGAGAAGTACGAAGAGGCCTTGGTTGCAATTACAGTGGAGGAGTCTTTGAAACGGTACATCTCAAATCCTCTCATTTTTTTTTTTCTGGAATTTGTTAGTTCTTGGTTCTTGATTTTTCTATTTGACATTTTTGCAAGTATCTCTCCAGTTATTGCCAACGTGTGGGAAGACCTGATTTTTGGGGAGGAGAGTCAGAGCTACTGGTTAGTATTTACTAATGTAGATTTGCTCAAACAAGTTCCTTTTTCCTATCTTTTCTGTTTTTGTTAATTTTTCTAACGATTGCGTTAGCAGCGACAGTCGTTGTTGGTCCAGGAAATTGGTTATTGAGTTATAGGATTGGATTTGCAGAGATGATGCATGTGTTTGGCTGGCTATAGGTAAAGGTTATTTCATTCGCAAGTCACTGCCATGTGGAGCAGTAAACTGAATGAAGCTGGTTTTATGAGTTGTGTGCTGAGGATTCTACAAAATGTGTGCAACTCATGCGAATTTACATTTTTTATGTTTAGAATTGCAAACAAGTTCTATACTCTTCTTTTTATGGAATTTGTTCAAAACAAAGCCGCATTGAAAATCATCTTCAAACTTAAATTGGCAGGGATCCGTTGAGTGCATTTATCATTCTTGAGAATGAAGGGTATATGATGCTATATGTCTGTTTATTCCTCTCTTTTTCATTTGGATTTGAGAGGTAACTGCCTCTATTTTCTTTAATTAATGCCTCAATCAAGGTATTGTTTCTGAATTACCGCAACTGTTCAGTTGCTGCTCTCTCCAAGGTTGCATGTATGAGCATGCATTTATAGTGGCGTAGATTTTTATATTGATTGCATTTATGGAGAACCTCATGCTTACTAAAAGCATTTATTCAACTACAGGTGCTGTCAAAATTATGTAGTCAACCAGTCATTGTTTATATTCCAGAGCATGAGGTATGTTTTTCTCTTAAAAACAGATTACAGAACTGGTAATTGATGCTGAAATTTGTGATGAGTGGCCTTATTCTTTTCAAGCGTGCAGAAGTAGGCAGTCAAATTAGGGAATGGTTTGTGCATCTAAACTGACAACAAAGTGAAAACTGATAATGCTTTTCCATGCTTTTTTGGTTATTCTTGTTTATTTTGGATGGCGGGAAGGAGGTTGGTTTTTAATATACCGTCATTAACTGTGATTTGCCAAAAAAATGCAGCACAAACACGGACTGGGATCTGGTTATATTCCGATTGCCGAGTATGGAGCAGATATTGCAAGGGCCTAAGAAAAGGAAAACCCAGGAAGGTCGTGAAGCTGCTCTACAGTGGTAGAAACCATTATGACCTGCTTGTCTAAAACCTTGGCATGAGAGAGGTCTTAAAATCTCCTGCCCTCTGCCCCCAACATCAAGGAACTGAGAGGGTTTAGGAACTGAGAGGTTTAAGTGCTGCTGGTTTTTTGTATTCAGGTTGAGAATGATTCAAATTTGAATTATATGTAATGGAGAATTCAATATAAACAATATAAAAAATCAAATGAAAGTAATGTTCTAATTCCAAATTAGTTTCATGTTTAATTTAAGTTTTTTGTTATTATTTTTTGAAAATATGAGAATATGAATGTATAAATGAGAAATTACAAATCCTAGTAAAGTCAATTTAAGTAGTCATTAAATATTTAAATAATGATTAATTTTTATATATTAAGTAATTAATATTTATAATTTAAATGAGAATAAAATAGATTGGGATGTGATAGAGCCATAGATTTTTTTCTAAAAAAATTATTCTTAATTTATTACAGAATTTCGTGTCTCACATTGCAGTACTTTCCACAGCAAGCCAAACTTCGGTGTAAGACACTACTAGTTATACCAAAAGAAAACGACAAAAGAAAACCAGGAATGGAAAAAGAAACGAACTTCATTAACACGTGGGAGACGGTTTCTTCGCACGTGCCTATTAACTCTTAAAACATCCAGGCCGAGCCCAAAAGACCCATCCATTCAGCCAAAGCAGATAAAATTAAGAAGTCGATACCTTCCCTTCATCATTCCTTCGTTGCTTCTTTCTCCCGAAACTGAAAGCTTAATGCCACCGCAAAGCAAGCAGGTTACACCATACATATAGGATATAGATTCTAGGGTTTTTGCTCTCATGGACGGAGCCAGCAATGGAGGGATGTTGTACCATGAGGTACAAGAGTCCAAGCTCTGCGCAGTGCATTGCGTCAACACCGTGTTGCAAGGACCGTTTTTCTCCGAAGTCGATTTGGCGGCACTGGCGTCGGATCTCGACTCTAAGGAGCGCCAGGTGATGCTCCAAGGTGGAGCTACCACCGCTGCTGCTTCCTCTCCCGGCGGTTTCCTCTCAGAGGATTCCCATAATGTCTCCCTCGGTGGCGATTTCAGTATACAGGTTCCTTTCCGTTTGACTCACTTTAATTTATGCTCCTGTTTTTAATTGTGTGCTTTTGTTTGCTTTCTGATTTTTTCACTTGCTGAAAAAACAAAGCAGGAGAGGAACTGAGTAGTTTGCTTTCTTTTTTCCCCCCCTCCGTGATAATGGCTTAGGAAAAAGCTTCTTCGGTACGTAGTACGTGCTGCTACTTACAGTAGCTTTTCTTGTTTGGTTTCTCTTGGTCATTCTACCTGCGTATTGCTATGAATTTGGAGCAGTAAGGAGCTAATAATTGGATTTTTGAATTTTGTATTTTCTATTAAGATATCCGAAGTTTTTTGGGAGAAGGTTTTATTTATCTTCGCTGGTTACTTCTATCCAGCTGAATGGGAGTATTTTCTTTCTTCATACTTGAATCGAAAGGGAACTCTTGGACTCTTTATGACTGTGATATTGTTTCCTCTGTCCGTTTTGTTTATTTGAATAAAGGAAGTTTGTACTTTGCTTTTGGGAAAATTTCTTACAAGCAAGTTTTCATTTAATTTGAACTTGCGGCAATATTTCCTCAACTTTCCATTACCATGTTACTCGTATTCCAACAGGCATAAGAAAGAAAAGGCATCAATATTTGACATTATTGTATCCCCTCGTAGAGCTGTATATTTGATTAAATGAGCACTTTAAAAGAAGATGAACAACTTCCTCGTTTATTTGTCTGGATATTTAGCATTAACGAATTTTGGTGATGGAGAAGCCATTCATTTAATGTGAAAGTTGGTTGACGGAAGGAGGGAGGGAGGGGTATTTTTCCTGTGAATTTGTGGTAATTTGAAGTTGTTGTGTTGGCTGATTGACGCATGCAAGTCCAAATATGGGAAGCTATCTTTGCATTTAGGAGCCCTTCACTTAATGAACTTGTTCTTGAGACTGCTGTCTGATTTGCTTACATGCTAGTGATATTAAAGCAAGTTATCAATAACTGCTGCGGCAATGCTATTAAATGCAAGTATCAGTAACCTCTCTTTTTATAGTTTAGTTTTAAGTGATGTAGGACAAGTTAGCTTGGGTACCAACTGGTATATGACAATAAAACAAGAGAAAGAAAGAGAAGAGATTAGGGATAGGACTAAGGAAGCCAGCTAGTCAATTGGAGAGTTGAGGGACAGAAAAGCAATTCGGGATAGGACTAAGGAAGCCAGCTAGTGAATAGGAGAGTTGAGGGAGAGAAAAGCAATTCAGGATAGAACTAAGGACATCTTATATCTCAAACTCAATAATCTTTGTGCTCAAACGTCACGACACATGTACATCTTAAATAGGAGCAAATCTATTTTAATAGAAAGCTTAAAGAAAAGTCTAAATTGTGATACGGAAATTTCATATGGGGTAAATTACATAAACCTTGCCAAGTTTTGACAAAATATACAAAGACCATCCCACTTTTAAACATAAATATAAAGCATCCTTTTTTCTTTTTTTCTTTTTTTGAAATAAATAAAGCATCCTACACAAAAACCTTCATACTTTTTGCATTGTTAGCTATTCCATTCATTTTGACTTACCATTTCACTGCTTAGCACTAAAATTACTATTGTATCCTGTTAATAAAAAATCACCATAATTATTTGCAATTTACCTCTACATTTTTTTTTCTTTTTCATTTTTTTTATCTTTATTGTCCTCACACTTCTCTGGTCCGTATACATAAACGATTTGTTTTATTATTAGAAACCTCCACTCTCTTCATGTTTTCTTTCCCTAAAGCGAATTCTTTTTTATAGAGAAAGTAAGCTAACATGTACAGCCTCAAAATAAATCATTCTGTATATAGATGATCCTAAGTTTGGTATTTTTGCAACTGAAAATTTCACAATTGCTCATCATCTTTTCTTATATTTAACCATCGTTAGCATTTTATATTCAAATCTTTAATTAAAATTCATTTCTTTATTTGGATAAAAACATATGTTTCTTTATTTTTTTGGTTCATTGCTTTTTTCCCCTTCATTTTCTTGAGTTTTTCACTAGCCAAACAAACCCACACTCAAAGTTTTGTTATTTAAAGAAATTGGTAGAGAATGGTGGAGGAGAAAAGACATACAGAGAGAAAAAAAGAAATGAAGAAGATGGGATTAGAGAGAGAGGTGCACGGATTGGAGAGAGAGAAATAAATAATTTGTTTTCGAAATAAAAAGTATATATTCACTGGCACTAAGAAAGTGGAAGCTGTATACAATATTTACAAATCAAACAAAATATCTATGATGTCCCCAAAGTCCTTGATAAAATACAGCGAATGACCCCTTAACAAAAATTTGATAGTGTGGATCCAATTATCCTTGAATTTGTCAAAGTTGGATTCAATTCTCTTGAATGCCTTTCTATTCATCTCTTTCCAAATCATCCAGAAAGTAGCTAGCAGAATGAGCCTCACTCACCTGTCCCCATGAATGCCACTCCAAGCACATAACTTCTCCTTTACAGAATCAGCTATGGCCCAGTCCAATCCCAAAAAAACATAAGTCAAACTCACTCACCTATACTTAATGTTCCTTACGATGATACACATGAAAAAAGGGTTTTTGAGCTAATTGTTTCTACATTTAAATTATTAAGTGATTGGACAAGACAGTAACATGCTAACGAATTTTAATTCTTGCGATACTTGCAAGGACTAAGTTATATCTGGTAATATTGGATCTTGAGTGTGAATAATTAATCATAGAATGTTCAAGCACTTTCTGAAGTCTATCTGACAACAAAGGAAGAATGTTCCCATATGGAAGAGATCATGATCACGTTTTTACAGAAAAAAGTGGTTGTATCTCAATAGAATTATTAGCTCCACTTTTGCACAATGTTCGAATAGATAAGGAAAGAATTTCACTATTTGCTCATGGGTCAGTAAGAGCGTTCTTGATAGCTGTTCTTACTAAGTTACGCCGTCTTTGCTGCAGTAATAAATCTTCAGGAACTTCCCTGCAATATGATAGTGAAGCAGAAACCACTATATATCACTACTTATCTCTTTCTATGGAGCGAAATGATCTCACTGTCATTGATGATAATGATGTAGTAACCACTAGATACCATGACTTATCTCTTTTTATAAAGCAAGATGATCTCACTAACATTGATGATCTAACTCGTGAGAGCAAGTTAATAAATGAGGCAACTGAGGAGGTCACTATTGATCATCTGACTAATAAAGTAAGTCAGTGGATAAGATAATCGAGGAGATTGTGAAAGATGCTGCAATTTCTATCATACAAATGAGTCACTTGGTGATGAGTCTCTCAATTCAATTGCAAGCAATGATGTTGTTACTGTTGAAAATGATGATATTCTTGAGAAGGCGGCCCTACCTGAAGATATTGAAAAAATTTCTTTCCTCCTAAGAGCAATGTGAAAAGTTTGGTTATTCTTCCTTTTATGGATTTTGTCGTTCCTATTCTTTACGTCTTCAAAATCCTTGATCTTGGAAGCATTCATGCTTTCTCATTACAATTTGAAGTCCCACAAGCTTCATTATTAAGAAGACAAGTTCTAAGTTCAATATTTTTTATGTTTCAACATTTCAAAACTTGAAGCTGAGTTTTTGCCAAGTGGGGGGAGAATGACACCGAACAGGAAGCTCCAAAATTGATCATATTCTAATAATAGGACATATGCAGCAGAACCAATGAAGGAACACAAACATTTTGGCAACTTAGCTAAAAGGAACAGGAAGATTTGATTTGATTTATATTTTTTGGAAATATTTGCAATAAAGGAAAGTAGGAAAAATTACTTTCCTATTTTCTAGATTTCCAATTTCCTATTTTTTGATATTTATCTTTTTTACTATTTATTAGGTTTTCTAAATTTTCTATTTTGATGTATTTGGCACCTACATATAAGGTTACATAATTTAGTTACTATTTTGTATCCAATTGAATTTCGTAAATATCATAGTTTTCTTCATGAATTTTAGGAACCAACCTCTTGGATTTGTAGTTTCTATAATTTTAAGTTTGTAGTCTCAAACCAATGAGGACAAGAGCCCCATACCCACAGGAATTTGAGGAATTTTATATTAAGATGGTACAATGGTTATACGTTGATAAGCAAGAAAAAAAGAAGAAAGAAATTATCTAGTACTTTATTTTGATACTAATTAAAGTTGTGTTGCTGTGTGAGAAGAAGATAGCTATAACTGATTCATTATATTCTAAAAATACCCTTGACACAATATTGACGATCTCACAAAAATCCAATTTCAGTGAACTTCCATTTACTAGTCTCATCTTTTATAGTATTGATCCCCTAAATAATATATGGAGCTCAGCATGTCTAGAAGAATAGGAAAAAGTTTTGTTGCTGATGTTATTACCAATATTCGATATTGGGTTATTCATAGCATTACTATATCTTCCCTATTTATTGCTGGTTCATTATTTGTCAACATTGGTTTAGCTTACAATGTATTAGAAGCCTTCATCCACACGAGTATTTTACAGGGAACAGAAGTAGACTATTCATGATAATTATTCAAATATTGAGACACTACTTTGATTGTTGAGATTCGCAATCTCCAAGTTTTTGTTTTTAATAAAATTCTCTAGGTTTTGTCTTGAAGCACTTTTTCTCCTATGTTAGCTGGTAAAGTTCTTTTAGTCATACATCAGAAAGTTTAATACTCTTAGACTGTTTTGGATGATTTTATTAGTGAATTAGCGTAACCTACAATCCAAACCTAGACCATTTATACTGCTCACGTCCATGGCCTCCTAACAACTAACTTTTTGGAAATAAATCTGGAAAATGCATCCCTGGATGGCTTTTGCTTGACAAGCTGTGTGGTGAAGAATCCTCACTATTGTTAATCTAATGAAGAGAGGCTGTCTTGGTTAATGCTGCTTTCTGTTTATTTCAAAAAAAAAAAATGCTGCTTTCTGTGCACGAGAGAGTGTGGATCCCCCAGTCATCTGTTCATTTGCTGCCCCAAGGTAGCTAGTTTCAGGATTCTGCTTTTTGATTGGCTGAACCTTAATCCGGTGGTTGGAGTTTCAATTGCTAATGAATTGAAGTTGCTGGATGGTATTAGAGTGGGCAAAGGCAGGAAAAACTCTTTATTCCCCGTTCTATTTTTGGATCATTTGGAAAAAGAGAAGCAAAAAAGCTTTTAAGCCCATTTGCTCTCCTTGCTAGAATAAGAGACCGCTGGCTCTAGATTTTATGTTCTGTTTCAAGGTCATCCTCTCCTTCATGGAATTGATGGGGGACCTGTTAGATATTTTAGTTTGACCTCTTCTATATATATATATACATATTTTTTCCTTGTACTTAGATGGTAGGTACTTGGTGCCTTATGAATGCCATTCACTTTCCTTATTCAAAAAAATGATTCCTATTCTTGGGGTTTCTGTAGGTGTTATCATTACATATTTATGCATGTCACATACTTTCACTTTGAAAATTAGTAGTTTCAAACAAACAAACCCAAATATCCAAGACATCTAACTTTTACTTAGTCTCAGAAATTAAAAATTAAAAAGACAACTATTACAGAATCTAAAACTTTCTGCTGCTCTAGTCATTTTCCTTTCCCTTTGCTAATATTGGGCTAATTCCGAAATTAGAGAAAAATCTCGGTAAATCTTATTTGCTAATACTGATTTCTGTCTCTATTTTGCCATTTTGTCTGATCTGGATTATGAACAAACTGGATTTCGAATAACAGGATCCAGATTGTAGTTCTTGTTGGGGAGAGGGAAGGGGGTCTGCTGTGACTCTTTCATTGGTTATTGTGAGAGTCCAAATATTCTTCATTTGTCATCTTCACAAGGGAATACAGAGAGGTTAGAAGATTTATGAGACCAAGTAGGTAATAAGAAATCGAATCTTGACAAATTTACATATATGCTTTAATCTATTGAAAAGGATTGCACACGTTACTTAATATCAATTGATATTATATGTTTATCCATCCTTAAACTATGTTGAACATGAAAATCTTATTTGTCATGATTTTGATAAAAAAAATGTTCAAAATAATAGAATAAATGCTTCAATTTCTGAACTAGCTCTTTGTCTTGGGGGAGGTGAAGTGTAAGATTGAAGTTTCACCTCTTCTGAGGAGATACATTACTAAGATTGGCTTCATGCATTCTAGCCAAATTTTGTACTTCTGCTCATCTATTTTGGAGTAGTAATTACTTCCTATCTGGAAGAATCATGGATGAATTGACTTTGTACAGTCTTTAGCACAAATCGCACCCTTGAAGCAATTGATACTGAATACAAGCTTGCAAAATCAAATGATTGCTTTATTTTCTCCAGTAACTCATAGCACTCAGAAACATGATATAATACATCCTTGTGATATGATAAATCAAATGATGGATTGTGACCGAGAGAGGTCTATTGAATTCAAAATGTTCATCTCTCCTTTTAGTTTGCCAAATAGAAAAGAATAGAAGTTGCTTCATGAGTCAAGGTTGATGTCTCATACTATTTACACAGCTTTGATAATAGTTGATGCAGGAGAAGTAAGACAAGGGAGAGAACAGGAGAAATCAGGGCCAATTTGGTTTGGATTATATAATAATACAACAAGCATTATCAGGAATCCAGACTTTAGGAAAATGATCACGGGAATATATTATTTGTGTATTTGGTTAAATTGCTGAGGTTATTTGGAAATATTTCGTGATGTTAATGGGAAATTTTATTGTTTTGTTTGGATTGCCAAAAAATATTGCAGAAATAAAAACTTTTGGAGTCCTTTAGCACTTGTTTCATTCGAGAATATTAATTTGTTATCTAAATTCTCAACTACCCTCCACTAGAGGTAACTCTCTCCAATATTTAAGGTTAGTCTTAACTACGCAATTTTTTACTCCAACATCCACAAGAGAGATCACTGATCCACCCACATTACTCAGAATATTTCATAGAGGAGTTCAACCAAACACTGTCTTAAGGATGAGAATGAGGAAACCAAACAGTAAATAGAAGAATTTAAGGAGAGAAAATGGAAGAAAAGGGGAGAAACACAGAGGAAATATCAAGAAGAGGAGAGTACTAAAAGATCTAATATCCAAACTCAACAAACTTTGTCTTGACCTATCTAGAAACCTTAACAGTTGCTTTTGTATAAATGTGAAACTAAATCTATTAAATGTAAGAGATTAACTAAAAGTAAACCAAATCAGGATAAGGAAAGCAAATAAATATCCAAATAGAGAACTAAATAAAAACCCAAAACTGTATTTTAATTTCCAAAAACTACTGTAGTTGTTAAATACCCTAAGAAGTCCTGTACATGTAAAATTTTAAAATGCTGAAAACATCTTTTAATTTTAAAATGCTATTGATTAGCTTCTTATTGTGGTGGTGGTTGACTGCCTTACCAAATATGGACACTTTTTGGACTTGAGACACAGTCACAGCAGCTAAGGTGGCCGAGCTTTTTCTTGACAGTATCCAAACTACATGAAACACCCAAGGTTTTCTCTAGCTTGTTTTGGGAGGAACTCATGAGGTTGTTAGGTACCACATTGCATTTAAACTCTGCATACCATCCTCAAACAGATGGACAAACAGAAAAGCTAAACTAGTGTCTGAAACCTGCCTTTGCTGCATGGCTCATGATAAACTCGGTCTTGGTTTAGGTCGTTAAGATTAGCAGAATGGTGGTACAATACTACCTTCTACACCAGCATTATGATGACACCCTTTCAGGCATTATACGACTAATTACCACCTCATTTTGCTGACACTGTTGAAATTGAAACTCTCTTAGATAGCTAGAAGTGTTCCTGGAAGAGAGGCAACAGATGTGCAGAATACTCAAATAGAAATTGCTGGAGGCTCAAAATCGTATGATGCAATTTGCTGACCTCCACAGGACTGAAAGACAGTTCGAAGAGAAGGATTTAGTCCTTCTCAAATTCCACCCTTACCGGCAGCAATCGCTGGCCAAGGAAGGGAGTTCCAAGTTGTCTCCTCGGTTTTATGGCTGTATCAAGCCCCATAGAATGTCAGCCCTGTAGCTTATCGCCTCAAACTATTAGACCATGCAAGAATAAACCCCACATTCCATGTGTTTCTGCTAAAAAAGTATATACCAGGAAGGTAAGATTATACGGAAGAGTTACCACACATTGATTTCGAGGAAAATGCCACCTTCCAGCCTGTTAGCTTGCTGCAGAAAAGGGTGGTCTCTAAGAAACAAAAAATGGTGGAACAAGTCTTGGTACAATTGGACGGATTGGGAGATGAAGAAACCACTTGCGAGGATGTTAAACACTTGAGACAGAATTTTCCTCACATAAACCTTGAGGACAAGGTTTTTTCCCTAAGGGAAGCAATTGTCACAACCCATGAGAAAAAGGGAGTAGATGATAACAGGAGCAAGAGATCCAAGCCCCTTTTGGTCTACAAGCGCCAAGCAAAGGGAATATTGCTGGTGGTTGTCCAGGTTTGGCAGAGAATGAACGAAAATAATGATTATTGTACTATAAATTAGTTACTCCATTTCCATTCTATTATAGTTGTTTTGTTAAGATTTCATTAGATTTTCTGTTTGAAAATTTCAGGTGGAAGTATATATTGGAATTGTAGCCTGGTCCTCAAGCAGATGAAATTTATTAAATTCAAATCTACGTAATTCAGAGATCCTGGTGAAGTTGCAGAATTTTATCTCTAACCTTTTTTGTCTTCCTTATCTCCCTCTTCTCTACCTCTTTTTCTTTCTCTCTGTCTTTATTCCTGGATTATCTTCTTTCAACCATCTCGTCCATCTTACCTATTCCTTACTGGAATACATGTCAAAGGCTCCTGATACAGACCCCTAAGAGAAATGATCTGGCATTTGGATACAGGAGCTAACCTTGTGCCTATGTGCTGCTAATCCCAGTCCGAATTACATAATGCTTTCTTCATGTGTCATGAATTATTTTGCTCTTTGCAACTTGGCCCTTCGTGCATTAGCCTGTAGAACTTCTTGGTGCTGGAAACCAGACGAGGAACTGCATAAATACTAGGTTTCAGCTTTGCTTATTAGGTGCTTATAATATTTGTATTATATACCAATAAGCACCTTTACACAGCAAAAAAAGGTGTCTTCCCCTTAACTTCTTCTGCATTTACTCAAAAGTACATATTTTCTTATTTTTACACAAGTTTAATAATTTACTGACAATTTTTACTATTTTTATATAATAGAATAAACATTTTGATGATAAATATTTTACCTGAACCTATATTTCAAATCAGCACATAAGTGCTCCAAACAACTTAAAAGCACCTAGTGCATACTACAGGTAGCTCTCTTTAAAAGTACTTCGTCCCCCGCATATTAGAAATCAGGGAATGTGAGATATAAACTGATATTGGTAGCTTTTGAACTGCATAACGTATATTAATTTCTGTTATGCATTTGATTCCTTTACTTTATTGGACCTTAGACCTTGAAAATAGATTCTGTTTTTAGACACATCTTGAATCTATTTCCTTGTTGTTTAGCAGTTAGATATACAATGATCCGGTGATCCATCTTCATGCTTCTTTTTAAAGAAAATTTCTTTGGATGTAACTATTGGTTTGGACATGGTTATCTATATGTTGCTTCGTATATCCTCTAACTAAATGTTGAATAATTATGTCCAACATTACGTTTGTATTTCAATTCACAACCAGAAACATGGTCAATTTAACCAAAATCTGCTTACATAGGAATTCCTTTAAGTGCAAGAGTGGAAAATTAATTATGATTTCTATAGCATTGAACAAATGATGCTCTGTTTATTGTTGGGTATCAAACTGCCTAAGCACATATTTTCTACTCTACAGGCAACTGCTCTTATTAACATATAAGAATTTGGTAATGATCTGGTTGTAAAAATTCCTGGTTGCAGGTTTTACAGAAGGCACTAGAGGTTTGGGATTTGCAAGTCATTTCTGTTGATAGCCCAGTTGCTGAGCCTGCTCAGATTGACCCTGAGCTAGAAAATGCATTCATATGTCATTTGCATGACCACTGGTTTTGTATCAGGAAAGTGAATGGTGAATGGTATAATTTTGATAGTCTCTATGCAGCTCCACAGCATTTTTCGAAGTTTTACCTCTCAGCCTATCTGGACTCTCTAAAAGGCTCTGGCTGGAGTATCTTCCTTGTGAGGGGAAACTTCCCCAAAGAATGCCCCATCTCATCTTCAGAATCTTCTAATGGTTATGGACAGTGGCTTTCCCCCGAAGATGCTGAGAGAATAACTAAATCATGCAACTCGGTACAGGCTTCTCCACAGAGAGTCAATTGGGGTGAGCAGCATTCTGATCAGCCATTGTCATTGCTTTCAGAAATGGAAGACGAGGACCTGAAAGCTGCAATAGCTGCCAGCTTGATGGATTCTTCCTTAGCCACGGCCAAAGTCGAAGGTAGCACTACAGAAAGTGAAGATCAAGATAACACGGAAAAGAGTGCATAAAAAAGTAAATTTATTTTTTGTTTTGTTTTTATTGGCTGAGAGACAATGATACTACTTCATGTTAGATGGAGTTGGGCACACAGTCTTTTGTTGTGAATTATAAACTTTTGTTATACTTTCTCAAGCCGAAATTGAGGTAGTAAAAGGAAAGAAAAAAAGGAGAATTTCTATTTAATTTTGTAGCATTTCTTCTTTACAATATTATCGGCTTTGTGTATTAGCTTGTAGACTTGCATACTTCTGTCCATTATACTCTTTGTTCTCGTTCGGTAGGAAGTAGATTATGTTTAGGATCTGGTTATTAAGTTTAGGTTATATTTAGTACTTACTTCAGCACTTCTGATATAGATGGTAAGAGCTGATGTTTTTTTTTTTTTTCTAAAATACTTGATTTTTCAATACTTAAAAGTTATATCTTTTAAATTTTGAAACTATAAATTCATTGCTTTGTTTGGAACTGGTGTAGGATGGGAGATTCCTAGCAGTGCCTTCAACCAATATGCTCTTTAACACACTGACCATACATAATGTAGAAATCACAATTGATAAAAATGAAAAATTATTAGCAAGAGTGGAAAGTGTTTGAACAAACTCGTGGCAAAAAGTTAATTTGATATCTAAAAACTGCTTCGCAACAATTGGACAAATATTGAGTGGTATTACCCGAGAAAGTTGGGTAAATGCATATTTAAAATTTGGATATATAAGCATAATATGGTAAGAGGAGTTGTTACGAGTTCTCTAGGCCATTCCCGTGGCTTTAATTAGTAAATAAAAAAAAGTTTGCAATCCTTGGGATTATCCAAGGCAAGACTAAAAACGAGAGGTGTAAGAGTTGCTACAACATCTCTCTTCAATTATATTCCACTTAATTTTGTTTTAGTCACTTGTTTTTTTTTGTATTTTTTTTTTCGTTTTCTTTTTCCTTAAATATGTCTATTTTCAGCACTTTGGTAAATAAAATTTGTAACTTATGTGATGTAAATAAAAATCATGGACTGCCATTTGCTACAACATCTCTCTTTAATTATATTCCACTTAGTTTTGTTATAGTTTCTTTTTCTTAAATTTCGACAAAGTTGTTGAAATTTTTTTAAACTATTCGTTGCTCGCTCTACACGCATGGAAGAGTTCCTTGCTCCCAAGTCTGTGTAAATCATCTTAGTAGCACCAATGATTGTTAACTCCACGTACTCTTTAATATGATGGCTTAGTTGATTGTAAATAGTGCTATCCCACTGAAACATGGTTCACTTCGCTACGTCACACATTCCTCCCATTTAAAACAGTTGTATACCTCATCAACTATAGGGCACTACCAACCTTCAATATGTTAGTTTATTCTAAAAACTATTTATCTACTTCATATTAAATCAAATTCGTTGATCTTTCTAAATTAAATATATATTTTCGTACTGAATTAAAAAAATATAAATAGAAACGTACCTGAATCCATCGTAAAAGATTTGTTCGCGTTCCACAGTAAGATCTTTTGAATCAACATAACGCATTAAAACTATCTTTTTTTGGTGACAGGATTTTAAAAAAATAAAATAACAATCTTATGATTCGGGGACCATAACCGCCTTTTATATCGACTAATTTTTGCAATTCTTATTTCACCTATCATAAAATAAGAATATTACAAAAATAGTATCTGTACATTAAAAATCATACTTAAACTTGATGCATTAAGATCCAATATTGTTTAACTATATTTGATCACTTTTAAACGAGCCCATTAAATTTATAGCCTGATACGTACATTAAGCCCACACGTTAGAAAAAAGAAATTTAACAATCTCCCACTTAAACTTTGTGACATCTTAATTATGCGTTAAATAGTCGTAGGAGTATTCAAAACTGTGCTATCAATACTTGAATGCATCACCAAATAATCCCGTCCATCGATCATAAAAATATAGGATCAAAGCGGCTTTCACTACAACTAACGTAGCTAAACCCATCAATGGTCACATATATCAGTATAACCGAATGACAAGTATTTGTTTAGCACTATTCCAGGAAATAGCTCCCCCATCAAGAAAGTAAATATAGTCTGATGTAGATTTTCTGCTATCTTGATATCCCGCGAAATCAGAATAAGAATAATTAATGATCTCCAACTGATCTGACCTCTTGTATGTGAACATATAATTTTTTGTTCTCTATAGATACTGCATGACACGTTTGACTACTTTTGAATGATCTATACCTGGATTACTTAAATATCTGTCTAACATCCCAACAATCTACGCAATATCTGGACACGTACAAACTTGTACATATATAAGACTCCCTACAGCAGAAGCATAATGAATCTTTTACATCTCCATAGTCTCTAAATCATTCTTGGGATATTGACTTAGAGTAAAGTTGTCTCCTTTAGACACAAGGGGAGTCACACGGTTTACAATTCTGCATACCAAACCTTTTAAGAACCTTTTCAATATATCTCTTTTGTGATAATCCATGAATACTCCGAGAAAAAATCCTGGTGTATCTGAATCCCTAATACAAAAGAGGCATCTCCAAGATCTTTCATATCAATTTTTTTTGTCAGAAATCTCTTGGTTTCATGCAATAAGTCCATATCACTGCTGGCAAATAATATGTCATCGACATATAAAATTAGAAAAATATACTTACTCCCACTAAACTTGTGGTATACATAATCTTTCACTAAATTTATCTCAAAACCAAACGAGATGATCACTTAATGAAATTTGTGATAGCATTCATGGAAATCCAGTTTAAATCTATAGATGGATTTTTTAAGTTTGCAGACTATTTGCTGTGCATCTCCAGATATAAAATTTTCTGGTTGCACCATATAAATTGTCTCATCATATCACTGTTGAGAATACTGTTTATATCCATTTGATGTAACTCAAATCAAATGTGTTACTAAAGTATATAGT